AAATGAAATTCACAATTGCAGTCTCCCTACTCTCCTGAGTCCTGGGTCTTTCAAATAACTTTCCTCTATCCAATGAGAATGCGAGGTTGTTTACGTTGTACTGGTAAATGAAATTCACAATTGCAGTCTCCCTACTCTCCTGAGTCCTGGGTCTTTCAAATAACTTTCCTCTATCCAATGAGAATGCGAGGTTGTTTACGTTGTACTGGTAAATGAAATTCACAATTGCAGTCTCCCTACTCTCCTGAGTCCTGGGTCTTTCAAATAACTTTCCTCTATCCAATGAGAATGCGAGGTTGTTTACGTTGTACTGGTAAATGAAATTCACAATTGCAGTCTCCCTACTCTCCTGAGTCCTGGGTCTTTCAAATAACTTTCCTCTATCCAATGAGAATGCGAGGTTGTTTACGTTGTACTGGTAAATGAAATTCACAATTGCAGTCTCCCTACTCTCCTGAGTCCTGGGTCTTTCAAATAACTTTCCTCTATCCAATGAGAATGCGAGGTTGTTTACGTTGTACTGGTAAATGAAATTCACAATTGCAGTCTCCCTACTCTCCTGAGTCCTGGGTCTTTCAAATAACTTTCCTCTATCCAATGAGAATGCGAGGTTGTTTACGTTGTACTGGTAAATGAAATTCACAATTGCAGTCTCCCTACTCTCCTGAGTCCTGGGTCTTTCAAATAACTTTCCTCTATCCAATGAGAATGCGAGGTTGTTTACGTTGTACTGGTAAATGAAATTCACAATTGCAGTCTCCCTACTCTCCTGAGTCCTGGGTCTTTCAAATAACTTTCCTCTATCCAATGAGAATGCGAGGTTGTTTACGTTGGACTGATTAATGAAATTCACAATTATTGCAGTCTTCGATACTCTACATGCACTCTAAAAAGGAGTCCTTTAGAAATTACCCTATTGTTATAATTAGAATGCTTCCATGCAGCACTATGCTGAACCCATGCACGGTTACATTCATTTCGCGGGTATTATATTGATATATTGACTTCTGTATATAGTGACAGGGTGCATATAAAGACTTTTAGAAGGTAACCTATCCTTGTTAAGCACAATATTTTCTGCTCCTGAGAATTTAAAATAGCTTCATGAGACATGCATATAAAGTTTATATACTATCAGTTCGTGAGTAAAAACGATTCACTGAAGTGACAACACAGCAACAATTTTTACTGCTGCGTTAAATTAACAGCACACAAATCATAATTTTGTTTCGTTGGACGAAACCAAAAACTTTGAAATAACTTCCCAGGCATAAAATTCGATTCACTTGTGCTTACGTATACGCCTGCTTTCAACCGTATACTGTGCGGTAGTCCTCGGCGGCATTCAAATTGTAATAATATGGTGAATTTCTAAAGTCTTGACCAGTTCAAACTCAAATTTATTGCGAGTGTTTCTGTCACCGTTTATAGGCTAACTTTAGGACTGCAAATCCGCCTTATGACTGTCAATGGTTATGCCGCATAAACAGCTACGAATTAAACATGCTTAACAATGATTTTTTCTGTGTTGGTGTAATGTACTCAGGTGAATATGATGCTTGTGATGTTATTCTGAGTGTGATATATCCACACCGGGCAAGCTTGAAAAATATGCCTGTCTACGGTGGGAATATTTTTCAAGCTTGCCCGGTGTGGATATGCACTCATATAACATCAGAAGCATATGCTTAACAATGTTTCCTATTCGAATGAATTCGAATGATTTCTATGTGCTTGCCAAATGTTCATATATCAGTTCTGCCAGAGTTTGGTCATTTCAATGTGCAAAACAACTATTGAACATATCATAAATAAAGGACTTAAAATGTCATCTCAGTCTACAGCCAGTAACAAACAGGAGAAATATTAAAATGTTGTTTCCGCCAGCGCTTTAATGGACCATTTGCATTATACTTTATAGACTAAATTTTGATCTAGACAAAAATTTCATCACAGTTTGAAAGAGCATCACAAAATTAGTAATATTCCAAAGCTTCGTTGCGAAATGTTGTAAAATGCGGATAATATAGCCTTGCGAAGTTTGCTGTTTTTCAGTCATTTTGTATTACGCACGGGAAATTGACAGTCCAGTCGGGTGTTGGGGCTGCAATTTCCCATTTGTAATACAAAATGGCTGAAAATTGCAAATTTTGCAAGGTTATATTATCCGCATTTTACAACATTTCGCAACGAAACTTTGGAATATTACTAATTTGGTGATGCTCTTTCAAGCTGTGATGAAATTTTTGTCTAGATCAAAATTTAGTCTATAATGCAAATGTCCATTGTTTAATTCAAACTCCCTCAAGGATTCTTGAGTTAACTAAGTTCCGAACTGATTGAAAATTTTTTTCATCCAGAGTCGCTATATTTCTCCATGTTGATTAAGGCGTTATTGCTAAGTATATTTATTAACTGCTCTTTCAATGTACTGTACCGCCACTGATTCAGTGTTAAACTGTGTTTGTCTCAGTTTGTGGTAACTGCTTCAACATCTACGACAAAACATAACATTTTTAAAGTTTTTTGCTTCCTTACACGAACGCTATGATAGAAATTGCCACCAAAAATAGTACCAATTTTTAGGTGATGTCTTTATTGACAAAGACGTCCCTTCTTAAACTCACCAATACTAGCAGAAGAGATGGCAAAAAATCCTCAGTAAAGAACCTCTTTGGCACGTCCGGTCTCCAATTGAAATTTAAAGATCGGAAATATTTCCCAGTCTAACCATAGTCTTCCCGGGTAGACAATCCTTGCAGGAATCGTTTTACCAAACAGGGGAAAATGTCTCCCTGAGTTTTTTAGGAAACAATTTTGCTTTCTGGGAAGTAAATTTTCGTCCGGAACACCTTTCCAAGGGCAAATGCGAGAACATTAAAAACCCATCAAAATTCACAAATTGTTCCGCATCAGTATGTTCTACCGATATAGGCCCCGTTTACATTGTACGGTTTGTACCGTTTTCGTAGCGTTCTCGTATTGTTCGGTAGGATTAGCTTTTCGTTTTCTTTCCCTCAGAGAATTGAAAACAATAAGAGAACGCTACGAAAACGGTACGATGCAAACGGGGCCATAGTCGTTTGCCCCGCAACTAACTTCCCTTCGAAGGTCCGCTCGAAACGTCGAAGTTCTCCTTGTATTTTTCATTTAGTTGTATCCCTATCCATCTGAAACTTTCTTATTATTGCTACTACCCACACTTTCACAGACCTTTCAAGTTCTATATATTACATTTATACCATATCCTTTCTAAAATAAGATAGCGCTAAATATGCTAATTTAGGAGACTAAATATGCTAATTTAAGGGAGTACTAGTTAAAACATGATTTAGAATATTCAGGATGTAGTGTTACCAATCTCATATGGATTAATGCCGAAAGTTTTTGCTCCGGAGAATTTTAAAGCACATTTTGACATATAACCTTTCGTATACAGTATTAGTATGCAAATGAATCCTTACCCGTCCAATCATTATAAATAGTATTACGCTTACCCGTTACCCAGGGGAGTCAACTAAAATTTGAGACTTAAAAAATTTCGAGCTGGTTCGAAAAAAATTTTTTCTCTTGGACCGACATAGAATTGTTCAAAACGGATAATGATGCAGAAAGTTTTTGCTCACGTGAATTTTAAAGCACATTTTGACATATAAACTTTCGTATACAGTACTCGTACGCAAATGAATCCTTACCCGTCCAATCATTTTAAACAGTATTACGCTTACCCGTTATCCGTTACCCGCTGGAGTCAACTAAAGTTTGAGAGTTAGAAAATTTCGAGCTGATTCGAAAAAAATTTTTCGTCTTGGACCGACTTAGAACTGTTCAAAACGGATAATGATGCCGAAAGTTTTTGCTCAGGAGAATTTTAAAGCACATTTTGACATATAAACTTTCGTATACAGTATTAGTATGCAAATGAATCCTTACCCGTCCAATCATTATAATTAGTATTACGCTTACCCGTTACCCGTTAGCCGAAGGAGTCAACTAAAGTTTGAGACTTTGAAAATTTCGAGCTTATTCGAAAAAAATTTTTTCGTCTTGAACCGACTTAGAATTGTTCAAAACGGATAATGATGCAGAAAGTTTTTGCTCCGGAGAATTTTAAAGCACATTTTGACATATAAACTTTCGTATACAGTATTAGTATGCAAATGAATCCTTACCCGTCCAATCATTATAAATAGTATTACGCTTACCCGTTACCCGGGGGAGTCAACTAAAATTTGAGACTTAAAAAATTTCGAGCTGGTTCGAAAAAAATTTTTTCTCTTGGACCGACATAGAATTGTTCAAAACGGATAATGATGCAGAAAGTTTTTGCTCACGTGAATTTTAAAGCACATTTTGACATATAAACTGTCGTATACAGTATTCGTATGCAAATGAATCCTTACCCGTCCAGTCATTTTAAACAGTATTACGCTTACCCGTTACCCGTTACCCGCTGGAGTCATCTAAAGTTTGAGAGTTAGAAAATTTCGAGCTTCGAAATTTTTTTGCCTTGGACCGATATGGAATTGTTCAAAACGGATAATGATGCAGAAAGTTTTGCTCACGTGATTTTTAAAGCACATTTTGACATATAAACTTTCGTATACAGTATTCGTATACAAATGAATCCTTACCCGTCCAATCATTTTAAACAGTATTACGCTTAGCCGTTACCCGTTACCCGCCGGAGTCAAGTGAAGTTTGAGACTTAGAAAATTTCGAGCTGATCGAAAAAAAAATTTTGTCTTGGACCGACTTACAAATGTTCAAAACGGATAATGGTGCAGAAATTTCTAGCTCAGGAAAATTTTAAAGCGCATTTTGAGAAATAAACTTTCATACTCTATACGTATACAAATCATTCCTTACCCGTCCGATCATTATAAATACTATTACGCTAACCCGTAACCCGCTGGTCAGTTTTCTGAGGTCGGTACGTATTAAAGAGATGTGTGTGTTAGAGAGATGTCTGTATTAGAGAGATGTCTGTCTTAGAGAGATGTGTGTATTAGAGAGATATCTGTATTAGAGAGATGTCTGTATTAGAGACAGGCATGCATTAGAGAGATGTCTGTATTAGAGAGATGTCTGTATTAGAGAGGTATCTGTATTAGAGAGATGTTAGTATTAGAGACAGACATGTATTAGAGACAGACAAAGAAACAGACGCGTATTAGAGAGATGTCTGTATTAGAGAGATGTCTGCAGCTGTATTAGAGAGAGGCATGTATTAGAGACGGACATGTATTAAAGAGATGTCTGTATTAGAGAGATATCTGTATTAGAGAAATGTCTGTATTTGAGACAGGCATGTATTAGAGACAGACATGTATTAGAGAGATGTCCGTATTAGAGATATGTCTGTATTAGAGAGAGGTCTGTATTAAAGAGATATCTGTGTTAGAGAGATATCTGTATTACAGAGAGGTCCCCAGTAGAGATGTGTCTGAACAAGAAGTTGTCTGTATTGGAGAGATGTCTGGACGATGTCTATAACCATGCAAGCATTTTAAGTCACATGAAAAAATAATAAAAAAATATAAAAAATTCCCGCGCAGGTTTTGCATGGTGAAAGGTAGACAATTCTTTTAAGGAAAATTTTTCCTATACCACAGATATCTTGTATGTGTGTAAATAAAAATTAATATCAATAAATAAAAATTCCCAGCTAACATACACGACGAGAACGGGAGTTGTCTCGTGTTAGCCGCCAGACATGGTGATATATACCATACCTAATCTTAACGAACTAAGGGGGAGAGTGCTGGCGGCCCCCAAACCATTATGCCGACACCCTTTTCGCAAGATTCTGGAATATATCGCCTTCCACACATT